GCGTCCGTTATTACTAAGCGTTTCTGAAAAACTGCAAGGAACAGCGTGGGCCCGAGCGTAGCAAGAGCTGGGCATTAACGGTTTATGAGAGGTGGCTGACAGTTTCTGATGGTAGAAACAGATTCTGGCCGATTCAGATAGCTGGTAACAGTTTGGATAGTCACCGTTCATCTTTCCTGGTGCCGGTCAAGTCCTCTTTGAACAAGCAATATCTGGAACATTTTTGGAATTGGGTAAAGTTCAACAATGCCTGGGTCAAAGAAGGGACAGAGTGTCTTGGATGCAAACAGGAAAGTAAGTCATGGTGACTTGTCTGTTAATTGTACCGATGTGTCTGATGTTAAGCATGACATGGTTGGTGTTACTGTTTCGCCGTTCAGGGATAATAGGAACATCAAACTCCCTAAATTTGAACCACGGTGTTTCGATGGAAACCCGGCCGATTATTTACAATTTGTAAGGGAGTTTCGGATCATGCTGAGTACTTCTTTATTAAGTGATGAATTGAAGTTAATGTATTTGATGAGGTATTGCACTGGAGATGCTTCAAGCGCCATACAGTGCTGTAAGCTGATGCCCCCTAACGAGGGATACGCTGAGGCTATGAGCATATTACGTCAAAGGTTTGGAAGCCCTTCAATGATTGTAAGGAATGTATACGAAGCTGTCAAAGGTAACGGAAGTCAACTTCAAGATGACTCCAAGGCACCTACTGAGTTTCTAGATAATCTTATGACTTATAAGAATACCTTGATTTCTATGAATTGCATTAGTGACCTCAACTCGAGTTTTATACTAGAAGTAATACCAAGACGCCTACCTGCTCAACTGCAAAGGAAGTGGGTGAAGATAAGCTCCCGTATGGAGGAAGAGGATATCGATCCAAAATTTGATGATATTCTGAAACTAGTAAAAGATAGTGTGAGCCAATCTATGAGCAAGTTTGCCAGTCTACTGCATCTCACACCTAGATTAGAGCAGTCTGAGAGCAAAACGGAAGCATTGAAGATGAAAGGGCCTCAGAGAGGTGGATATCGAGAAGGCTCTATGGTGTCTAGTAATGCATATAGACCTGGTGAGTGTAACAGGTTTTGTAGTACATCCTCAACAGATAAGTTGTAAGATGCAAGACAAACACGGTTGTGTTGTACACGTTTGCAAGAAGTGCATACAGAAGTGAACTGTGAACCGGTGAGCAAGTTCAGTGATAAGCTAAATGTAAACTCCAGGCCTGACTCCGAATTGTGTGACGATAACGGTGCGATCAAGAAGTCTGTAGCTGCAACTGGTAAGCCATTGTTGAATAGAGTGTCACAGCATAGAGTTACTGCTTCAGAGTGCAGTTCTGACTCCAAAAGTTTACAAGGTATTACTAGTCAGAGTGAAGATATAAAACCTTTTATGATTTGTGAGGAGGAACCAAAATTGTCTACTTCTGTTATTAAAGAGTTTGAAAATGATGAAGTTGATGGTAAAGTGAATATTCGTGATAATGATCATGATAGTGCAGATTACTCTTTGGTTGATAATGATGAAATGAAGGATATGCCTACTACTGCTAAGTTAAATAAAGGTTCTGTACAACTACAACGTGAAGTAGAATTGAACGCAGATGCAGTTCCAGAAGGTGTGCATACTTGTGAGACCGTCAGTTTAATTGATCAGCGTGTAGCCCACTTATCATCAGATGATAGTGCTAAGCCAGAGATGATAGTAAAAGACAACAGTGGTAATCTTGCAGTCGGACAATTATCTGAAAGCCGAAAAAGAACAGCTTCTGATCCACCACTAAGTTTATCTCCTTCTGTCACTCAGTCGTCGTTGGTGTTTTTATCCACAATGAAATGGACGTCCATGAACTCACGTGCCTTATGCAATGACTATGATAGTATTCGTGCGTTTGAAAAAACGAAAGATATTGCTCAGTTTAGTGAGAATAAGCCAAGTGTAAACGAGAGAGTAATTGTTAAATTGACTTGTATGAATAAAGGCATTTATAGTTTCAAGTTACTAATTGAATGCTATTATCTTTGGTGTAAATTACTCTGTTTCTACACTTGGTTGATGAGATATGTCGTGTGTTTGTTGGTCATCTATATTCTACGATACAATGATATGGGCGTGCTGCCGTTCAGATTTGAGGATATAGCTCATAGAAGGAAGTTAGCAAATGAACTCTGCGACGATTTTCCAACCTAGAGCGTCAACCTGAGGAGGGTTGTAGGCGTACTGCTGTAAGTCATGCGGTTCTCCAAAGGGTAGCGCATCAATGAGCAGTCCAATGTGCCTGGTGTGTGATTTTGTACATATGTTCATATTGTATATACTGAATTGATATCATCTGTCATCTAGCTGTTGGTAATTCTGCTTCTGTCCGGACGACTTACACTTGGATTATCAACCTGAGAATGAATGTAGGCTTACTGCTGTAAGTCCTACAGTTCTTCAAGGGTAGTTTTTCGTGCCAGAATCCACAACATTTGATGTGTTGATTGTACTTATGTTTGCGTTAAATAATTGTGTGAGTTCCAATTGATGTAATTGTTGGTTAATCTTGTTTGTGTCCGGACATTCCACAACTTACAATCGTCAACCTGAGAGGGGTTGTAGGCGTACTGCTGTAAGTCCTGCAATTCGTCACAGGAATTCCATCAAGACATGATCCGCCAAGTTATTTGTACTGTTTGTGTATACGTGTGGTGTTTCTTCTCAATTTGTGATTTTGGATTAATTGTGTTTACCTGTTGTTTTCGTACCTTGTTGTTATTGCGTAATTTTGTTGAAATTTTCGTCGTGATTACTTCTGAAGTTGTTTCTAGTCTTCTACGTTCGTGAATGAATTGATTGATGTTAGAGACAGCAGATGGGTCGTATACGCCAGGGAGGCTATTTCTGAGAATGATATGCATACGGAGATAATTGTTAGCTGCGGTCCCACACGCCGGGGAGCGAGAGTGTAGACGACTGAGGCTCGCATGTGTCACCGCTACTAGAACTGAGGCAGAATGAGTGACAAGCGATTGCAGTGGTAATTGGTAGTGAGTAGATAAGAGGATGTGCGTAGAGTATCGTGAGGTGGCGCTATGGTCACGCTGCATTCTGCGCGAGTCATTCTAGCAAGTGGCGATTGTGTTGCAAGATGTCAAGTGGATACCTTTAATTCGAGGGTGTAGGTCGTCATTGATGTGTGAGATTGTGCTGTGGGTATGCTTGTGGTGTGTTGGCTTTCTGTTTGTTTTCCATTTCAGCTCTGTGCATATGACCCAGGTTCTCGCAATGGCATCCAAGTCAACGTGTATTGGCCGTGAAGGAAAAACGGGTTGGATCCCTTTTTTGCCAGGGAGTGTCAATGTAGTTGAAGATTGAAAGATCAATTCATGGTTGTTTGCTCAAACCCACCTTCCCCAATTTTCGCGGAGGCATCAATACGACAGTCATCGTCTCATCGGTCGCTGTTCAGAAAGAAGTCAGGAGACAACCGTCAGAAGTAATCTTGTGATTTATTATTGTAATATTTGTTCACACCTTTGAGTGGAATTATTTTTTACATGTTGGTGTTACAATAAAGAATTCTCGAGCGGCCAATCGGTCTTTTGGTTTTTGCGTCCGTTATTACTAAGCGTTTCTGAAAAACTGCAAGGAACAGCGTGGGCCCGAGCGTAGCAAGAGCTGGGCATTAACGGTTTATGAGAGGTGGCTGACAGTTTCTGATGGTAGAAACAGATTCTGGCCGATTCAGATAGCTGGTAACAGTTTGGATAGTCACCGTTCATCTTTCCTGGTGCCGGTCAAGTCCTCTTTGAACAAGCAATATCTGGAACATTTTTGGAATTGGGTAAAGTTCAACAATGCCTGGGTCAAAGAAGGGACAGAGTGTCTTGGATGCAAACAGGAAAGTAAGTCATGGTGACTTGTCTGTTAATTGTACCGATGTGTCTGATGTTAAGCATGACATGGTTGGTGTTACTGTTTCGCCGTTCAGGGATAATAGGAACATCAAACTCCCTAAATTTGAACCACGGTGTTTCGATGGAAACCCGGCCGATTATTTACAATTTGTAAGGGAGTTTCGGATCATGCTGAGTACTTCTTTATTAAGTGATGAATTGAAGTTAATGTATTTGATGAGGTATTCCACTGAAGATGCTGCAAGAGCTGTACAGTGCTGTAAGGTTGTGAAGCCAAAAGAGGGCTACTACGAGGCTATGAGCATACTACGTCAAAGGTTTGGAAGACCTTCGATAATTGTAGGGAAATTATTCGAGGTTGTTAAGGGTCCTATTACTTATTTCACAATTTGTCTTAGCGAGATAATAATTGTATGCGCGCCTTTCTACGACTGTTTTGTCCACCCTGACCTTTATATGTTTGTAGTTTCTGGCTTGCGGTAGGGTGTGTTGGGAGTGGATGAATTTTCTGGTCTCTGCCGGTGTTTCGAACTCAAAACGAATAAGACAACACTTTTCATGTTGACTCTTCTTCAGCCTATAGCACTTCGTCTTGGAGTTAGGCATTTTCGCCCCACCAAGTAAGATGCGCTGTACCTTTTTAGTGCCTCATTGTCTGGAACGTTGTAGGCAATAGCACTCAGTTTTGCATCGAGTCGTTTTGTTACTTCTGTGGTAACAAAGTTAATGAGGTTATCTACCTTAGTTACCGATTCTGTGTCAAGTTTGTTAAGGTTTACAGTTTTCGTGAGGATAGTTAGAGGTGCCAGTTCACAGACCTACGATCTGATATCGCCGATCTGATCTGATCTGATAATTTGGATATCTCGGTATTGGTTTCAATATTTCCAGCATTTACTGACTTATTGTTTTTTATTTCCCTTAACTCAGCCTTAAGTTCTCCTATAGACAACTTTAGAAGTTCTATTTCTGAAGACAGTACTGAAAAAGAGCTTGATGGCTGGGGTTTTCCGATAAGCACATAAGGTGTAGGGAGCAGAGGGTACTGAATTTTTGGGAGTAGTGCTAATACTGGCGGTACGTTCTGGCTTTACGTTCGAAATTGGTGACATTTTTGCACGTGTTTGCTCTGAAATTTATTTACTGCTTATTGTCATATAATTCTTGAAATTATGGTCCAAATCTCTAAAAAACGTGTTCGTAGAAACACAATTGTTTTAGATAGTGGCTTAAATTCGGTTATAACTGCATTACCGCCTCGTAATACAGTATCAACTACTAGCTCTCAAAATGGTTTGAGTGCAGATCTCACTCCTGTGATACAGGTGAAAGATGTTCTGTTAGAGAACTCTGAGTTCTGTAAACTAAACCTCCTTTTGAAAGATATGCAGAGGCAAGTAAGTGAAATTCAGAAAAAATTAGATCAGTTTGATAGTATGTCACTGCCAATCTCAAATACCACGGAGAGCCGTTCTGATATTGGCCAGGTTAAGTGTTTACTGGATGTAACTCAAAATAAGCTTTTGAATTTAGACCCAATAGCCTGTCTTTTAGAAAGGCATCCTAAAATATCTCCAGACAACCTAAATAAAGCTGAAAATCTGATTGACTGCTTGGCTACGGAGGTGATGAAGCGTATAACCTCTTCTCACCAAGCTATAGTTTACAACGTCCCAGACTCTCTGCCCCTGAAAACTGTAAGACACAAAATCCTGATTTGTTGCGGCATGGCTAGTGTTCCATGTGAATGCAAACGACTTCGTAAAAAGTCTAACCAGGCTAATTGCCCAATCATTTTTAAATTCAGTAATTCCCTTGATGCTAGTAAGTTTACTAAATGTCAGGATCACTTAAGACTGAATAGCAGTTATAAGTCTATAACCGTAGCTCAGGATAAAACACCGTGTCAGCGCAGAATAATGCGTAGTAATAACCTGGTCACCTCCTCTAGCTCTAGCTTTGATTTACCAAATAAGGATCGTGCACAGCAACAGACACCTAGTGCTGAAACTAGCATTCAGCAAACTACACAACAACCACACCTGCCAATGGAACTAGGAACTGATTTAGATACCAGTACCCCTGTAAACAAAGCCTCATCGAAAGATGTTAAAATGACTAGAACTTCTGCAAGTTGTTCTAAGAAATTTCCCCCCAAACGTAGTAACCTCACCACGATGAACAAATTTCGCAGGGTTGAGACTAATGATGGGGAAGAATACTTTGTATTCAATAAGCCTGCTGAGAGTAAGAATGCCAACAAACCATCACTTGTTACGAAAAACTCCTCTCGAAACATAAGTACATCTGGAGGTGTTCCGCATGCTCCACCTTATAGAAAGTCAGGCTCCAAGACTCCTAAAGTCTTGCAGCCAAAGCACCTTCCTTCACAATTCCCTTTAAGTTATAAAAACAACCCGAAGGTGTATACCGGTATGACGAATAGCAGTTGGATGGGTAGACCTTCTGATGCTATGCCTTTTAACCGCCAACCTAGGCCCAACCTGTACTACCCTTATATCCAGGAACACATGGTAAATTTTCCAGGTGTCCTGAATCACTGGTACGACCCATGGCACCTAGGACCACCTCATTGCACACCAACTCCGATGTGCAGACACCCAGTCCGACCTCCTTTTCATTCATAAATTCTTGCGGTGCTGACGCACAAATAGATTTAGGTTATGGTGACATTTTAAGCCAGTTTGTAGTATCCCGTGACTTATTCACGATATTGCTAATTAATGCACGCTCCTTAATCAATAAGATATCTGAACTAAGGACATTATTATTAGTCGCCAAGCCTACTGTAGCTCTGATTACTGAGTCATGGTGCTCATCCTCAGTACTTGATGTGCATATAGGTATCGATGATTACACTGTACACCGTGCAAACAGAGATTGCAAGCGTGGTGGAGGATGTCTCATATATATACATAACTCATTTGTAGTCAGTAAGGTGGAAGATGAAACAATGAATAATGTACCTGACTCACTCTGGGTTGTCTTACATGGAGATAAGTACAAACTTCTCATAGGCTGTGTTTATCGAGCACCAAGCGCAACAAAAGAAACTGATGCGTTATTAGCTAAATCGTTTGCACACGCATCCTCGTTTAGTGCTAATTACAAAATAATTGCAGGGGACTTCAATCTTCCAGAAGTCAATTGGCTAACTAGTTCCGGCCCCCAACGCTTCGACGAATTACTTGCCACTATAGACTGTTATGGATGGCAACAACACGTCCAGACACCTACTCGTGGTGACAACATTTTGGACCTTGTTTTTTGTCATGACACAATCCCAGTATCCACTTATGTTGGTAATCGATTTTCCAGTAGTGACCATAGAATGGTACTCTGCTCTCTGCCTTTCTCACCACTAAATACAGGAAACAAACAAGACTCAGGAAGCACAATATGTCGTAGTTACAAATATACAGACTGGGGATTAGTCCAAGAACTTATTCGACTCTGTCAATGGGATGACTATTTTACCACTGACTCCCTGGAGGCCTTAGTAACCCTGTTTTACAGGAATGTTACCCTTTGTCTAGATACAGTTGCCCCAAATAAAATAGTGAAATTAAGTAGACACCGAACTGAATATATTCCAAGGGCACACCGTAATAAGTTAAGGAAACTGAAGAAACAGTACTATTCCACTAAGGACATATCACTATTGCTCTCAATCCACGAGTCTCTTGAATCTATCAAGCGCCTACGTTCTCAAAAGGACCTCGACGAAGAGTTAACGGCACTTGAAAGTACCTCCAAAGTTTATAACTTAACGGCACTTCTTAAAAAACGAATGCAGTCAGCGAGGGAAATCCCATACTTACTTCACGACAAAGTAATCTACAATGAACCTGCCACTATCTGTGAACTTTCAGTGATTGGTTTGCAAACTTTAGTTTAGAAACACATATGCCTGGTGAAACCGCTCCCCTTACTATCTCTTCCCTTGAAAGCATTGTGTTCACTAATCAACTAATAGTACAAGCAATTAAAAGCCTTAAACCTTCCACTAGTACGGGACCGGATGGCCTCGCTTCGATAATTTTCAAAAACAGTGGGTGTGATATACCCCTGTTACTTCTTAAATTCTTCTCAATATCTATGGACACTGGCACTTACCCTAGTGAGTGGAAAACTAGCTTCATAATTCCACATTACAAATCTGGTGATAGGGCAAACGTCCGCAATTACAGACCCATAAATATAACCCCAGTTATCTCACGAATCATGGAGAAAGTTGTAAAGGATCAATTGTCAGACTACCTAATTAGGGAGGATCTTGTTACAAGGTCTCAACACGGATTTCTCAAAAATAGATCCTGCGTTACTTGCCACTTCGACTTTTTCAACTGCATCACTAGTAATCGCGAAGCACGTAAGCTAGTCGTTGTTCTATACTTCGATATATCTAGGGCATTTGACATGGTATCTCACAGTATTCTCTTTGAGAAGCTGTACTCTTGTGGAATTCGCAACCCATTACTGAACTGGTTAAAATCATTTCTAAGCAACAGGGTACAAATAACCAAAGTTGGATCTGTATTGTCTCACCCTAGGCAAATCTCAAGTGGGGTCGTGCAAGGTAGTGTCCTAGGTCCACTTTTATTCACAGTTTACATTAACAGCATTTGCAAGTGCTTCACCTCAGGTAAACCATTCCTATATGCTGACGACCTCAAAGTCGTCTACTCCTGCTACACTCATGAATTAAGCGATATGGTAGATAAAATACATCTTGAACTAAGTAGCCTTGCAACGTGGTGTGCTGAATCCTGCCTAAATTTTAACATTGACAAATGCGGCTGGATTTGTATCGGCAACAGTAAGCTTGATCTAAACCTTGAAATAAATGGGCGAAAACTAGCTAAGCTCAATTCAGTCGTAGATCTCGGTATTAGATACTCTAGTAACCTAACGTTCGCTGAACAGACTGATTATGCCAGACGTAAAACGCGTAGGCTGATAGGATGCATAACACGCAATTTCTTTTGTTGTGAAACTAGGGTTTTATTATACAAAGTATGTGTCCGACCTATCTTAGAATACTGCCCGTTTATTCTTAGCGGACTAAGACAAAATGACAAGCTTAAATTAGAGGGAGTGCAACGGCAGTTTACCTCAAGAACTCTTGGTTTAGAAAGTAGTCTGGAATACCATGAGAGATGCGTAAGACTAAGATTAGAACCCCTCTGGAAAAGACGCCTTAAGCTAAACCTAATCTTTTACTATAAGCTAACTAATCTTCTCTTGCATTCCTCCGAGCCATTAACTAAACCTACCGCTGTCGTCAGTTACAATCTTAGAAATCATCACAACCTAGCTGCTATAGAGCACTGTCAGACTTACGTGCGGTACAACTTCTTCTTAAATAAGTTTTCAGTCATTTGGAATAGACTACCAGCTAATGTGCGCGATGCAAACACACTTCCAGTGTTCATCTCCTCAGTCACCAGACTGCTCAAAGATGACAATGCACTTATACGTCTGACTCTTACACCCTCTTTTTCACCCTACATAGATATTTTAAGTTGTTTAAACGTGTAGTTACAGCAAACTACAATTATAAATTTTAATATTATTGGAACTAGATGATTAACATTTCTACACAGGACAGTAATATTAGTTCACACATAATATAAAAGTTAGCATAACGGGACTAGTTAGTTTGTGTACCAAAATAACCACAGTTACTAAAGAGAATATATATGTGTATATTTATTAATCACTCCTTAAGGACTCCCGTTGCTTTCTTTTGCGTTGCTGTTGTTTGTCTTCTTTTTTCTCTCACCATTTCAGCTTCCATTTGACTTTTTGAATGAGAATGAATAATGTGGATATTTGACCATTTACAATGACAAATGATCTGCAAACATTATTGGTCCCGTATCTTTCAGTTGCCTGGTTAATAACGAATTAACTTTCTCCACGACGCAACCTGGATTACATTTGTGGAATATACTCTTATACCAATGGAAAAGTATCAATTTGTAATACAACTTCACGATTGTAGCTTATAACATAACTGATCGTATCTGTAAAAATAGCTTCCTTATTACCCAATTTGGATATAAATCAAATCAAAAATGAGATTCGGATTTGTACACACCCAGGTTATATTGAGGAATTACTTCAAGCTTTATTTTTTCCCAAGTATTTTTAATCCATCCAAAACTTACTTGGGTTTTTTTGTTAATGCGAAGACAACATTCCTATATTTCATGATGTGCTCCATTGAATGACTTGTTATATTGTGGAATAACTTCAAGCTTTATTTTTTCCCAAGTATTTTTAATCCATCCGAAACTTACTTGGGTTTTTTTGTTAATGCGAAGTCAATATTCCTATATTTCATGATGTGCTCCATTGAATGACTGGTTATCATATTGTTCCCACAGACCTAAAAAAATGGCATGCATTTTCATGTAAATTTATATGTTTATATGAGAATATACATTATTATAATTATTATTAAAACAAAAACGCCAGCAACCATGTAACTTAACCATAAACCGAATTTATGAAATTTAATTTATGCTTATCCATGCCTGTATATTTGGTGTGTCCTACACAAGTAGGAAAAAATGTGTACTTTATTAAAACATTATTATTAATTATGATTGCTAATCGTATATGTAATTTATCATATTGATGATGCCTGTAAACTGGCGTCTCTCATGTACAAAATGAGAATATACTATTATTATTATTATTATTATTATTACTAGCTGTCAGTACAGTTTTATCCTCGGTTCCAGCTCGACGCTTACGGCATACAAGTGAGTTACGTGACTCACTATAGCCGTTTGTACGGGGTGTGTTGCTTGATGTAGCAATCAAGGACGTTAAATTAGACACCAGTTTTACAGGGGAGTGGGTTCGTTCCTTTTTACTTTGATTAAACATAACTACTAGAAATGAGAGTTAATGGTTACAAGTATGCAAGTAGTATAGTACTTGTACAAGTATTACAAAAAGATAAATTTTATCTACATTCAACCAGATGTAAATATGGCACTTTACCAATATTATGTCTTCTACACTAGCATCAATTTGCAACTCGACAAACAGTAACTATTATTAGTGTACGAATAAGGTGCAAGATTTTTAAAAAAATATTTATTTCAACAAATACATTCATAATATCACAAATATTTCATCAATTACACAAATATTATTGTTTTTAATCCCAATTAGAATGTCTAAATGTATTGAGTGATTGCGGAATTGAAAACCATAACCTGGAAATTAAAAATGACAAAATTCAGTCAGGAAATGATGGGCTAAATAAGTAACTTGAAACACAGTACCTACCAGTTAAATGACTGTTTATTCACCGTTATCTGACGAAATTACCAACTCAGTTTCCTTTATTACTGTGAAATTTTGTAAACATAATGCAGCGATCAGCAGATTTGTGCCTCTATCCTATCCCACAGTTTTAAGGTGTTACCGTGGTGTTGTGTTTTGGCTATTCTACGTTGTTTTTAGTGGTTTTTTCGACAGAAATGGACTTTAAAACTCGTATTTTAACGAAAAGACGTGTAAAAAGTGAGAAAAGTGGTATTTTTCAATATGTTTACAGAATGCTCCCTTTTTATGGAATTGACATACTGAGGTGCATAAGAAATGTCAGAATTTGTTGGAAATGTCAATTATGGTATAAAATGCAAAATAACTCCAATTGTTCCAGTGTATTTTACGTAAATGATTAAGAGAGAGTTCGATATCTAGGTAATAATGATTTCATTATGTTTACAAAATTTCACAGTAATAAAGGAAACTGAGTTGGTAATTTCGTCAGATAACGGTGAATAAACAGTCATTTAACTGGTAGGTACTGTGTTTCAAGTTACTTATTTAGCCCATCATTTCCTGACTGAATTTTGTCATTTTTAATTTCCAGGTTATGGTTTTCAATTCCGCAATCACTCAATACATTTAGACATTCTAATTGGGATTAAAAACAATAATATTTGTGTAATTGATGAAATATTTGTGATATTATGAATGTATTTGTTGAAATAAATATTTTTTTAAAAATCTTGCACCTTATTCGTACACTAATAATAGTTACTGTTTGTCGAGTTGCAAATTGATGCTAGTGTAGAAGACATAATATTGGTAAAGTGCCATATTTACATCTGGTTGAAGTTAGACACAATGCGGGTACTGTTATCGCTTTCGCTAGTAAACCTTAAACAGGCGATATGCACAACAAAAGCCTATCTAGTGCATTACAGTATTTTATGATAACAAAGTAATCAATCAAATTTAGTGACGTGATCAACTAATGCACGAGTCTGAGTGTTAATGTGATCATGT